TGAGGAGCAGGGGCAACTTTGAAAAGTAGAACTATTACCAAAAGAAAGAAACATGATACAAAGTACCTGAGTGTCCACAAATTTCAAGTAAGTCAACAGTGGGTAGGTGCAAGATGATGTGTGCTGGCTTAGCAAACAGGACTAAGACATGGTTCTCGCTCTCCAAAGCTCTGCATTCCTAGGAAGATGGGCATGAATATGAACCATTGGGATGTGATATGGAAGTAAAAGTGCCAGGGCAGGAGACAAAGAAAGAGAAGAGGAATGGATGCCAGTAAGGTCTAACCAAGGCCTTAAAGAAGAAGCTTCTTCAAGAAATGGCAATAGAGCTGAGCCTTGGTAAGGAAAGAAGAGAGTTAGAATAGCTAAGGAAAGAACACAAGCAAAGACCTAGGCAGGGCCAAGCAGGCCTTGATGAAAGAATAAAAAAGTGTGTCTTCTTTGTGATTGGAACACAGGGTACAGGATGGGGGAGGAGAAGGACATGAAACTCATCAATCCTGTTGGTTTTTCCATCAGGAAATTTGCCTATACACAATCCAAATATAAAGGACTCTTTGTACCAGGAAACACAGCCAAATATATATATTATGGCTGACCTAGAAGGTGAATCCAGGATGTTCTCATGTAACTGGATCTTTTTAAAATGGTCTCCCTTTTAGATAATTGTATCTAATTGTCTTGTATCCTAATACTCTAGTGGCTCTCAAATGTTTTAGTCTCTAGTACTCTTTACAGTCTTAAATGAGTACCTGAAGAATTTGCTTATGAGTAACATTTTTTTGAATCAAAAATTTTACCATCTATTAATTTTAAAAAGGGGCTTCATTGTGATATTTCCCTACATGCATATGATGTAATTTGATTATATCCACACCTATATTATTCTTTCTTACTCCTATTTCAAAACAATTTTAGTGGTTTCATTATTGTAGTTTCAAAATGCACATAATCTACTTCCACTTCCTTCTCCTTTTGCCCTCCCGTTCTGCTTGTTCCACCTTCCAAGCAGTCTTCCTTTTCCATTCACGTCATTTTCTTTAGGTCTAGATTTGCACTGAGGAAAACAATGTGGTATTTGTTTCTGAGTTTGGTTGTTGTCACTTAACTTGATGATCTCTAGTTCTATCTATTTTCCTATAAGTAACACAATTTCCTTCTTTATGGCTAAATGATACTCCATTGTAAATACCACATTTTCTTTATCCATTCATTGGTTGATGGGCACCTAGGCTGATTTCATAACTTGGCTGTTGTGAATAGTGCTGCTATAAACATGGGTTTGCTGGTATCTATCTTATATGCTGACCTACATTTCTTTGGATATGTTCCCAGAAATATAACAGTAGGATCATATAACAGTCCTGTTTTTTGCTTTTTGAAGAACCTTCATACTGATTTCCATAGTGGCTGCAATAATTTATATTCCCACTAGCAAACGTTGTTGTTTATTTTCTACTCTGGGGTGAGAATGAATCTCAATGCTTTGATTTTCATGTCCTTGATGGCTAAAGGTGTTGAGCATTTCTTCATGTATTTATTGGCCATTTGCATGTCTTACAGCTTCTGAGAACTTCTCCATTTGAGTATTAACCTCTTGTCTGATGAATAGCTGGCAAAGATTTTCTCTGATTTTATAAGCTGCTTCTTCATTCTGATAACTGTTTCCTTTGGTGTGCAGAAGCTTTTTAATTTGATACAATCCCATTTGTCAATTCTTGTTCTTCATGAGCTACTTTCTCTTGTCCTATGGAGAAAGTTGTTTCCTGTGCTTACATCTTCATGTGTTTTCCCTGTGCTTCTCTGTAGTAGTTTCAGGTCTTTACATTAAGGTTGCTGATCCATTTTGAACTGATTCTTATATAGGGGTGAGAGAGATGGATCTAGCTTCAGTCTTCTACATGTAGTTATTTAGTTTTCCCAGCAGCATTTGTTGAAGAAGCTATACTTTCTCCAGTGATGTTTCTGGCATCATTTGATATTTGTCAAATATCAGATGGCTGTATCTGTGTGGGCTTATTCCTAGGTTTTCTAACATACTCCACTGGTCTACTTTGGGTGTGTGTGTTCCAGTATCATGCTATTTTTGTTATTATGGCTCTGTAGAATAATTAGAAGTCAGGTATTGTGATAATTCCAGCATTGCTCTTTTTGCTCAGGATTGCATTTTCTATTCTGGGGCTTTTATGCTTTCATATTAATTTTAGGATTTTTTTTCTATTTCTGTGAAGAATGTTATTGGTATTTTGATGGGGATAGCATTGACTCTGTAGACTGCTTTTATAGCCATTTTTGTAATATTAATTCAGCTAATCCATGAATGTGGGAGGTCTTTCAATTTTCTAGTGTATTAACTTCTTCCTTCAGCATTTTATACTTTGTATTGTTAGAGGTCTTTCACCTCCTTAGTTAAATTTATTCCTAGACATTTTTTTGAGGCCATTGTGACTGGATACTTTTTTTTATTTCTGTTTCAGCCTGTTCATTATTGGTATATAGAAAAGATACCAATTTTTGTATTTTGATTTTGTATCCTGATACTTTGCTAAAAGTGTTTATCAGATCCATGAGTTCTTTTAATGAAGGGTCTTTTTCATGTGAGTAATATTTATCATTATTTGCCATACTGTATAATTAAAAAATAATTTTAAAGTTTTTGTTCATATATTAACAATAACAATTATATACTCATTGTATTAACACAAATATTTCATAGTTATATATATTTCAAATTATATTTTACATACAAAAAAATTGATGGGAAGACCGAAACTTTTATATTCTTATAAATCTCCTTAATGTTTGTTTTACTAGAAGATAGCAGGATTCTCATATACATTATAATTTCTGTCCACTGATATATATTGTGTTGGCTAAAATGTACAAAGAAGAGTCAGCCTCACACAATTTTACAGTTGGAAAAAGAAGAGTATTTTAATAGTTTTTTCAGATAACTGGATATTTTTCTTTGGTATAACGACAAAACTTGACAAGTGTATTTTTAGAGGTCACAGTATTTTAAAGCCTAAGTGCAAAGTAGAATTAGAAATTATGCCGGTGAATTTTTATACTCTGTTATATTAAAATATACTGGTTATCTTGAAGATTGACTGGATCTTTTTTCATGCACGATTGTGTAGTAGCATGCATTTCTTGTTTGGAAAACACTGGTTTTCTGAGTTATGTAGATCTTCCAAGTGTTGACACATTTCACTATACTATATCAAAAAAACTACTTTTGTTAATACCACTACCAATCTCATCAGAAAACTGTTGGAGTGAGGCTCATGGTGGCATATACAAGTTCTCTAAAATCTCAGTTTTTTTTTTTGTTGTTGTTGTTGTTTAGAAACTCAAATTTTATCACTGGCACAAATACTGTCACTTTTTCTTGAAGTGACAGTCTCATTTTCGAGAACATGTCTACCAATTACCCATGTCTGAATAGCCAATTTGATTTTAGTTGTTCTTTCAAGTAAAGATGGTAATCCATGAAATAATAATGACAATAATCTCAGTATCAGCCAATTATCAATAATAATCAATAAACAACAATAATCTTGCAACTCAATCATGTGAGAGCTTTTCCTCCAGGCAACTATTATTTTTCGTTATGTTTTGTATGTACCTTCATTTCATCACGTAGAACACTACGTTGACATGTACTCAAGGGTTGACATTTACTAGAATCAATAATCATTTTACTGCTTCATTAAGAACTTTCATAAATGAAACTGGCATTTTTTTAAAACTGCAGAAGAATGCAGTGAGTGTTAGTACAGTTTGGTGCCTGCCTTGATTATCACTGAGCCTCCAGCAGTTCTAACCATTGCCCTTGCAATGTAAGCGCAAACTTCAGTGCAGTAAGTAAGGCATAAACTCAGGACTATCATAAACTTATTTGTGACCTTGTGGACTCTCTGTAAGGTCACAGGGACTTTCAGTGATCTGGAGACCACACTGAGGTCAATGTCAACATTCATGATGGGCCTAAGACTTCAATAGCTTGACCTGTAGCTATTACCAACACAAACATGGATTGTTAGCACATTTTTTCCTACTAAATTCTTCTTTTATTTGTGTTTGGTTTTTGAGTCAGAGTCTGTGTAGCCCAGGCTGGCCTGGAACTCACTAGGTAACCAGGGTGGCCTTTAACTCCTGATCCTCCTACATCAGAATCCTGAGTGCTGGGATTATTGGCATGAATTGATACACCTGGCTTTATTCTTTAAAAAGTTATTCTTTAACAAAAGAACTTCTAAAATAACAGTGAGGCATATCATCTAAGAATATGATATTTAAAAATAAAGAACACACCCAAATTACAGTAAAATTTTAAGGCTGTGCTAACATCTTCACTATAGCTAGGCATCTCACTTAATATTCTTGACTTGCTTACAACCGCTACTTAATCTACCACGGTTTTTCCAAATTAGCTTGTGAACATTTCCTTCACCTACTCTCAATTTTTAGAGCTCTGCTCAAAATTGTCTGAAGTGAAGGCTTCTGGCAGAAAATGTTCTTATATGATACTTACTCCTATACTAAAGGTAACTCTACTGGCAAGATATCTTTATCTGGTGGCTTTAAATTAAGTAGAGAAGTCACCTTATTTGTGTTTCCAATTTCCAAACTCTATGCAGACAGAAGTGCAATGACCTAGCTATTACTCTGTGCAAAACCCTCATTGTCATTAGTATGTAAGAACACATTTTCCTTCTATCCACACGTCCAGTTTGTTTCAGGCTAATGTTCCAAACCATGCTGACCAGCTCTTCCTTTCTGATTAATAGCTTCAAATGTGTTCACAGGTCGTCATACTTAGGGGTACATGTGCTCTAACATGGTCTGTCTTATGGAAAAAGCCTGTTTATTTAAGGAATTGCTCCCTTTTTCTCCTTTTCTAAACATTCCTCACAAGATTTGTGTTCCCTCTTTTGGCTCCTAGCACAGTGCTGGGTATTACGAAGATCGAAAGGAATGCTAATCCTTTGACTTACGTTGGCCCCACTGTCCACTACTGGGATTCAGATAGTTAGGATAAAGGCCTTCTGGTTTTTCCAGTTTGTTCAGTACTGTTCGAATATTCATCACCTACAAAAGAATATGAAATATTATTATGAAAATCTAAGAAAATATTGTCATGCCATTTTTTCTCTTCCTTGATGATAATGGATATAAAAGATGTAGAGTTAGAACAAAGATACCTATCATTAGCTATTATTACTACAAAATAATAGCAATAAGTTAATACAATCACATTGATTGATTATCTACCATATCTGGACCCCATACTATGAACTAAGGGTGTATTAGTGGGTAAACCAAGCCACTGGATTTTTTGAATTTTGCAATCCAATGGAATGACACAAACAATATACAAATACAAACAGAATGTTAAGAGAAGATAAGTGCTGTGAAAAAAAGAGACTGAATAGTGTGTGTTCCCAAAATTCAAATGATGAAGTTATAATCCTCAATGTGATGGCAATGGGGGCTTTGGGAAGTATTTAGGAGGGTAAAGCCTTCATGATAGGATTAGTGCCCACATCGGAAGAGACTCAAGAGAGCTCTCTCTATGGCTCAAGCATAAATAAGTGGTCATGTGAACACATGGCAGGATTGTGGCCATCTATAAGCCAAGAGACCTCAGAATGAAACACACCTTGATCCTGGATGTTCTAGTCTTCAGAACTATGAGAAATAAATTTCTGTTGTTGAAGTCACTCGGTCTATGAATTTTTGTTTTGGAAGTGTGAGTTGATGAAGAGAGAGGGTATCAGGACAGGCAGAGATTTGAGGTGGCAAGGTGACTATGTTAGAATGGTGTGGAAGGCTGATGTATTTGGGGAGAATTTTAAAGAAGAGACGCAGCAGATCATGAACAAATTTGGAAGGAGAGCAATCTGAGTAGAGGAAAAAGTGAGTAAAAAAAGCCCTGCTAAGATAGTAGGTTTGGAAAGACCACTGAAGCCAGAGGTAAGGAAGCAAATGTGGAAGACCAGAAAGTAGAGGAAAGATCAAACCAGGGCCCAGGCATAAAGGCCTCGAAGGCCACAGTAAGGGCTTATTTTACTCTGAGCATCAGGGAAGACTTATATTTTTATAGACTTGGTGTGACTGAGGGGGTAAGAGAGGTAGCTGGCTACTGCAGAGTCCAGGTGAGAGATGATGATGGCCCATGGACCAGAATAGCAACAGAGGCAACAAGATGGAGTCAAAGGATTTCCTAATGAATTGTTTACCACAAAGAAGCAAGACATTCGGCCTGAGCTACTGTGTAAATGGAGGTAACATTTACTAAGATGGTGAAGACTGGGGTAGAAGCAGGTCTGGAGGTTAAGCTTGAGGCATTTTAAGTGGAGCTTGTCTGTTAGACCTCTTTAGTAGAGAAGCTGAATGAATGCTGACGTTTAAGAGATAGGTTGAGAAATGGAGTTATAAATTTGGAATCAATGGTATAGCAATGACACAGAAGGCCATTTGTATATGAAAAGATTGGATGAGATAATGTAGGGAAGGGATATAGAAGAAAGCAGCCAGGCATCCAACAAAGAAGGAGGCAAGCTAGTAGAGTTTTATATATCTGCAACCAAGTGTGAAGCATTGTTCAGGAGGCAGGAACTGACCAGCAATGTCAAATGCTGACAGGAGGGAGAGGATGACAGGAGTGGATGGATTAAGTGGCTTTGGCAATGTGGTATGTATGGCTGGGAGAGAAGCTCAAATGGACAGAGTTCAATAGAGTGGGAGACAAGAAGAGAACAGGGACGATACTTTCAGGGAATTTTGCTGTAAAGGCAAACTGAAAAGTAGGGTGAAAGCTATGGACCAAGTGGTGGGATGAATATGAACTAGTTCAAGTATGTATGGGTTGGCTTCCTGACAACTAGAAGTCAACTGCTACCTCACATTAGGATAACACTTTGAATCTTTCTGTACTTGGTTCATATAGTCTGTATAATACTATATATCTTAGATGAAGAAAAAAAATCAGCTAGGTGAAGCAACTTACTTAAGATATAGAGTCACATGTGGAAATCAGGCTCTTTCAACTTGAGAGAGATAGTGCCACGAAAAGACTGGGTTTACAGTTTGATCAAATGAAGCAGTGCATGTTACAAAACTTTCTAAAGTTATATGAACTGTGCTGTTTTTTTTTTTTCATGTCGAGTATTACTAAATTTCCCAGAAGAGGATGTTATTGCTCACCTTTTCAGCAAAGATGGGGTTTCCAGATAAGTGGCTCAAGTGCATAAACTCCAGATGTAGGGTTCCAAATTCTGCCAGAATACTGCTGCCTCCAGAGGCCCAGGGCCAGTTCCTCCCAATGCCACTAAAGAAAAGAAGACATGAAAGAGTTATGGGTCAGACGAAGTCCATTTTTTCACAGTTCTACACTGCAGAAGTAGAAGCATCAGCTTTTAGTAATAGCATCTCTGCTAATAGTTCACTGTAGATATTATAAAACCAACTGTTGTTTTCTCGAGCTATTGGTTTTAGGCTCAGACTCCTATCTTCAAAATGAAAATTAATGTTGACTTAAGTCAGAAAGAAGTTACTATGTGTTCCACATTGATTAATATATGATCATTCCATGTAGATGATAAAACAAAACCAGACCAAAACACTCTCCCTGTTCCCCAATGCCACATAAAGTCTGTCAACATTTTCATTAGTTTCAGCTTGAGATTCCATGGAATTTCAGACATTTATATTATATACAACATTTTATTTGTATAAAAGATAAATTTTAAAGATTCATTAAATATGTCACTCTTCTCCAATTCCTCCATCCATTTACTAGAGCTCATTTCTGATGTTTATCTTCCCACTCTTTTTAATCTGTTTTCTAAGGCACTAACTTATTCCCTGTCTTATTTAATCTATGCTCAAGAATCTAAAAAATTATGTTACATAAATCTCAAGGAGTCAAAGGCATTAGCTTCTAACATTATTGTCTGATGGATCATCTTGGAGAAACACTTTTTAAAAAAGAACTGGTCTTTATAAATGGAGTTATAAACACATGCACGCAAATACACATGAAGTGACTCTTGAGATGTAGTCAGACTCTTGGGTACAGTTTATTCCTAGATAATCACTTCAAACTTCAAGACATATATGGTAATTTAAATAAAGAATAAAGTCAGTTATTCTCCTGACCAATAAATTCTCTTTCTGATACCTAAAATGCACATTTTGGTTTTAGTTCAGATGTTCATTTAATTGCATATGCATGGCATATTCATTACAAAAATGAAAATAAACCACTCTTCTCTCAAAGACTTTAAAGTTCAACAGAAAAGAAAGATCTAAGCATAAGTAATTCCAATATAAATACAATATGGTAAATGCCAAGATAAATATGACAAGTCTTGGCATCTCAGGCCAGGACACACAATCTAACATTGCAGGGATCATAGAACACTCCTTGAAGGAGGATAATCCCCGAGTTTGATTCTTGAAAGATAAGAGCTGGTGGGGAAAGAGCAGCGAGAGGGAGAACCTGGGTATGGAAAGACCCAGAGGGGAAGGCCAGAAATTACAGGAAGCTTCTGATACTGGTGAATGAGGGAAGGGAAAATGGCAAGACGGCTGCAAGGAAAAGCTGAGGCTGGGAAGCTGATGGAATTCTTACTTTCCTCACTTCCCAAGGCAGATCTCATTTAAATGCTGCTTTTGGGGTCCCTTAAATTTCCTAGACAACTCCTTTGCTTGGATAAACCCTTTCAGTCCTGTCATTTCCTCTGCTACCAGACTACTGAAGAATGCCAAAGAAAAGGAAAACAACGAGTACAGCTGGTGCCTGGAATCCTGGGCTAGCCTCCCTCTTATTCTCCATTTCTTTTTTGAGCAAAGTTCAGATTTTGTTCAAAAAAGCAGATGTACAGCACACTTAATAAAAGTAAACAAATGAAACAAAGAACTGAAAATCATATATGAAGTTCATTTATTTTAGAAAATATCCTAAATTTTAGGTTCTGGGACTATGAGTCAGTTTTTATTTTTAGTTGGTTTAGATAAAAGGAATTTTCAATCTTCCAAATGGGATGAACAGCTATTTGCAAATTTTATTTACATATGGCCAAGTGTACATAGTAATTGGTCACTAACTTGTATCATAAGAATTTTTTATTATAGGCATTCCATTAATGAACAAAACTACACATTTCTATGTTGTAGAGAAATACTAAAAACAAAGCTGCAACCTAAGACAATTATCAGGGTAAAAGGGGATGATGACTTCATCCTGGAGAAAGAAGAAAACAGGATGAGGTGCTAAAATTCAGTTCATCTTCCAGATCTTCAGGGACTATTTTTTTCCAATTCAGGGAATTAGCATACATCGTGGCATACTCAGATGAGAAAAGTTAAGCAAAATTCAGGGTAGGCATGGTGGCACATGTTTGTAAACTCAACTACTTGTGAGGTAGGGACAGGAGGGTCCTGAGTTTGAGCTCAGCTCAGGTAAAGTAGCGAGACCCTGTCTCAAAATCAAAATCAAAACAAAAGAGCTGGGGGCATAGTTCAAGAGGCAGAGCACTTGCCTAGCAAGTGCAAAGCCGTAGGAACTGCAAAAGCAACAGCAACAAAAACTTGAACTCAGATTTGTTTGTGTTCATGCATTTGTTCCCTGCTGTTTATGTGGCAAATCAAGAGAAAACCAGAGATATCATGTATTGAAAAAGTCTTCAATACATTAAAAAATTAAGAACTAAGAAGATTCTATATTCTTCCTCCTTTCTTCTGTTATTCACACCAGAAGGCAAAAATAGCGTTCCTTTCTATCTCATCTCACCTTTAATTAGATAAGGACCAAAAGCATTAAAAGCATACATCATCCTAAGAGAAAGAAAGCTAGGTTTAGAATACATGGTATGTTTATAATGAAAGGATGACTTTGGTAATCATGTATTCAACCTACAAAATTAATGTATTTTAGTAGAATTATTTACAAGATCAATGATTGTACTTGCTCTTAAATATATATTAGGGAAGCAGTCCAAGAAATCAGGGCACAACTCTACCTATATGTTACATAGGTCACTTATGTTTTCTGATGCAAAGCTGAAAAGATCTGTAGATTGATCTGGAGAGAACATGGGCCATCACAACTGCAGAAGGAGAGATGTGTGTCTCAAGGAAATGGCTACCTCCAGTATTGTACAGCCAGAAGGAAGAGTCAAAATCAAATTTTGGTCACTCATACATACCAAGAATTGGATTAACAGAATGATTTCTAAGGTCTTCTTTTATCTCCAAATTCTGAATCTACTGAGGAATCTTACAGATTTGTAAGGGTCACATCTCTGTATGGATGGTGGGCACTTGACATTAATATGATGGGTTTGTGAGAAAGGGAAATGGTATCTTGGGTTAGGGGTCAGGGTACACTGGCCACCCCAGTCACCCCATTATCAAAAGGCAGGCAGTGTTAACATGTGGGACAAAATGACTCTCATCTCTAGGAATGGGGATTTAAAAAGGCTTTAGCTTCAGTTTTGTTATTATAGCATTTAAAGGCAGGTATGTCTCTATCTGGACATTTTATAAAGACTAGTAATAGTCTAGAAAAATACTTTAAAGACAAATAATAATTTGTGCTCAGAAACCATTAGTTCTCTGAGACTGGCATGAAAGGGTAGAATATTTCAATATTCCCAATCTTGTTATAATGACTATATTTTAAGCCCAAAACGATGAGCTGGCATATGTAAATGTATACACACACAAAAAAGGCAATTAACATAGTCTGAGGAGCAGCCAAGTGTTTGGTTCAAAGAATGCTGGGACAGAACTTGAAAGTGTGGTATCACTCTAGTTTTATTTATTTCTGTTGTCCCCACTCCTTAGTTCTTCCATTTTAAACGGGAATATTATTTAATATGTATGTTTCCATTTTTAATTTAGCATAAATTTTCAATATCCTACAAAGGTATAATAATTTGAAAATAAAACACTGATTTTGGCAACTGTAATTAGAAACATCTTTTTAAAAGAATGGTATCACCATGCTTCTTTTGAAAATGTGGAATACTGTTTTGTTTCTTTACAGACTATAATTTGAATGTCAAATTAAAAATAATTATTAGCAGTGGCAATATATTTCCTCATCCTAGTGCATTCACAGCAAGAGAGGATAATTATTTACTGACCTCATATCTCAGATAAGCAGTAGGCGTTATATGCTTTTCCTTCTGTCTCCTGGGAATAGTTAATAGGGTCAGAGAAAGGAACTACACTCACGTTTGAATCACCTGGGAGAACAGCTAACTCTTTTTCTAGAACCTGTAATGATTCAAGTAGCTGGAGGACTGTTCTGGATTGATGGTGTATCCTTCCAAATAATCTTGAATCAAAATAACTAAAGGGATATATGTTATTGTGATTGCCCAGGTACAGTTTGGATCATTAACACATACATTGGACAAGCTAGCATAATTGAGTACATCAAATACAGAATTTGTAGGACTCAAACAATTCTAAAAAATTGCCAATAAATAGCTAAACAAAGCATTAAATAGGTGTATTGTCTTGATTAGCTATGACTTTCAATTTACCCTTCCTTGCTGCTTGCTATCCTATGCAAAAATGGGAAAAGAATTTTCACTAAAGAATTTTTTTCTTGAGGAAAAAAATAATTTTTGATTAGCTTATCAGTTAACAAACTCCCTTCAAGTTCACAGTCCACAACACAGTTTATTCCTTGGGGTGACAGAGTTAATTAATTTTTGGAAGAAAAACCTCCCCCATATTCTATATATTATTATCGTAAAGCCTTACTTATATATGCAAATGGAATGGCACACAGGGATATTTAATTAAAAAGATCAAATAGTCTGACATTATTCCTTTTGGATTTTAACACAGATTAGGAAATAATAATTAGAAATTTCATGAATGATTATTTCATTTAGCTGTATCCCCAAAGCTAAATGAGATAAAAGAGATAAAATAATTTCAACTTCATTTACAGATATCTCTTCCTGGAAAGGATCGCCTGATGTGGATCTTTCAAATCACATTCTAAGATCTCAGTAACAGCTGGACTAACAATTCAAGGGGACTGGCATTGGAAGACTAGCCAAGATCTAGTGCAGTTCACCCACAGAATATTCAATAGTGGAGGATCAACTCCTCAGAGCAAAGGTGGCGAATAAGGGCAAGCCATTGACTGAATCCATTCGCAACCCACAGCTACTGTCCCTAGGCAGCACAACATGGTTGCTTAATTCTCCAAGGAGTAATAATGCTAAAAATTAATCATATCTTGCTCAATGTCATCATTTTAGATATGGCTGAAATTGAATACTTATTAATTTAGTTTGGTCT